AGTTGCTTAGTTTATTTTGGTCAATGTCCAGTGCAGCTGATGAGTCCCGCTGTTGTATGTTTTTGCCCTGATTCCCTCTAGTTCTGTGTCGTCTTCTTGGTTCCCCTCCAGTGTACACATATATACCATATATGTGATCAGCAGCATGGGGTTATTGAGTAGTGATTCGACCAGGTGAGTGGAAGTTCTTTGTTTCTTAAGTCCTGTTAATTTTGTTGTATCACCTAACATTTTGGATTTAACATCCACTTATCAGGGAGACCATGTGCCGCTTGTCTCTTTGCTCTTGGCTTACCTCGCTCAACATGATTTCTTCTAGCTCCATCCATGTCCCTGCAAATGCCATTATTTTGTCCTTTCTAATGGCTGCATAATATTCCATTGTGTATAGATCACCTGGTACATTTTAAAGTTCCCTAAATTGTTGTCATGTGCAGCCTACTTAGGAATCAGCTGCCTCATAAGGAGTCTAAACTTTGAATCTCAAATACTCTTCCTCAGAGCAAGATAAGGTAACCAGGAATCCTAGGAGTTCAATTCTGTGAAAAGTCACCTACGTGAATATAAAACTCTATAATCTTAATAATTTGTCTCATTTGGTCAAAGGTACCCAGCTGCAACTTTCCTCACCTCACCTCTCATCTCTTAAATCCAGATATTCTATAGTGTGTGTGTGTGTGTGTGTGTGTGTGTGTGTGTATTGAGGCTTAAACTCAGGACCTGAATGCTGTCCTTTGGCTTTTTCACTCAAGGCTGATGCTCTAACACCTGAGCCACAGCTCCACTTCCAGTGTTTTAGGGGTTAATTAGAAATAAGTGTTTCATAGACTTTCCTACCAGAAATTGCTTTGAGCTTCAATCCTCAGCTATCAGTCTCCTAAATAGCTAGGATTGTAGGCATTAGCCACCAGCACCAGCCTCAGAGATTTCTTCCTCCTGCTCCTCCTCCTCCTCTTCTTTCTCTTTCCCCTCTCCTCCCTGTGTGTGTGTGTGTGTGTGTGTGTGTGTGTACTGCTGGTCCTGGGACTTGAACTCAAGTCCGGACATAGGCACTGTCCCTGAACTTCTGTGCTTGAGGCTAGCATTCTACCATTTGAGCCTCAGCTCCATTTCTGGCTTTTTAGTGGTTAACTGGAGATAAGAGTCCCTCAGGTTTGTTTGGCTTCAAACTGTAATCCTTGGATCTCAGCCTCCTGAATAGCTAGGATTACAGGCATGAGCCACCAGTGAGTGCATGGCCACAGATAGTCTTCTTAATATACTTATAGTAAGCATAAACTACAAGCCAGAAAAGAAAGACAAACCTCATCCTCACCCCTCCAACTCTCCTAGATTGGCCACTCCAAAAGAAAAAAATAAATAAGAGACTAACTTCTCTTAAATGTTTCAAAACAAAATAATTAAAATGTCTCTGGGTAAACAGCTATGAAACTCAATGAGCTATTTCCTTTATTTTTTTTCCCCTAGTCACAGACCCAAGGTCTATCATGGAAATAGTTGCATTGTTTTGACAGGGGCCAAATCACTCAGTGAAATTACATCTCAGGAGGTTGCCTGTGCCCTGCGGGGTTCTGAATCGCACGTACCCCCTTGGCTATTTGGGCACCAACCTGCTGAGATATGGAGTGGCAACATTTTTCCAGTCCATGAACTCTTCCTAATTATATGGCATCATAACAATTTACCCAGCCTAATTGGAGGAGCTATTTAGCCCTATCAAGGACACTCCATAAACAATAGTGAGAAAGACAGCTTTAATGGGCTGAGGCTTGAATTTTCTCCCAAGGCAAATATCAGGGGTGGTGGCCATATTAGTGGGTTTCTAAGAGTAGTAACTCCTCCACCATTTAAGGGATTTAAAACCAGCTTACAAATGCTGTTTTTGTCCCTTTCCTTTCAGAGGACAACTTACATAGTGACAGCAATGAAATCAACCCTTTCCAGTTGCCAGATGAGACCACTGATTTGTTCCAATCAAGAGGGTTGTAAGACTAAATATTATTTGACTTCTAGAAGATGGTGGTATGTTTGTTTTTCATGCCTGTAAATCTGGCTTCTCAGGAGACTAAGATGTGAGGATTGAGATTCGAAACTAGCCTGGGCAGGAAAGTCCATGAGATTCTTTTTTTTGGGGGGGGGTGGGGTCCAGTCGTGGGGCCTGAACTCTGGGCCTGGGCGCTGTTCCTCAGCTCTAGGCTAGCGCTCTACCACTTGAGCCACAGCACCACTTCCGGCTTTTTTCTTTTTGCTTATGTGGTGCTGGGGAATCGAACCCAGGGCCTCAAGCATGCAAGGCAAGCGCTCTACCACTGAGCCACCTCCCCAGCCCCGTCCATGAGATTCTTATCTCTGAGTTCAAGCCCCAGGACTGACACAAAACAAGATTAAATAAGTGAAATTAAATGATATGGGGATACTGTTCAGCAGTACTGCAGGGAAGGAGAGAGGTGAGGATGGAAGAAGGGAGGGAGGGAGAGAAGAAATAAAGGAGAGGGAGGGAGAGAAATGGACTCGTACATACTCCAGAATGTCAAAATCATTCCAGTGCATGAAGCCCCACAGTGTATATCATTTATTTGAGAAGTCCACCAAAGGAAACTAAATCTATGGGGAAAGAAAATAGATTATTGGTTCTTAGGTTGATGCCCAGGAGTGGCATGGGAATGTTCTGATCCTGGCTTGTAGTGAGGGGTGCACGCCCCTGAAAAGTTACTAACAGTAGTGCTAGATGGGTGTGTGATATATAACTATATAAAGCTGTTTGGGGGAAAAGCAATGAAGGCCATGGCTGCCCAGGTCTGGGGTGCCTGCGACTTAGCGTTCCCAGTGAATTCTTCTTTTTCTCCATGGCCATCTATGAAAAGTGACTAGAACTGACGTGTTCGGTGAAGGCGCGCCGCAGTACCCAATCTGGACATTCTATGTCTATCACTAGGCACCATGTCTGGGAATTTGGAAAGGGAATTAACAACCCTTACATCTCCCCTGACCTGGGGGCGGGGGAGGCAAATAAATGTACCAAATGTACCTCGGTGGAGGTCCGGCCACTCTACAAGCAGGGGCTCTAACCACTATGGTAAGTGTGGCGTGGACAAGATGGGACTTCCGGGCAGAAGAAGGCCGCGAACCCTAAGAACCAGCAGTCAGCTGGCAGATGCGTCGGGCAGAGCCGGGCTGGTTTGACCTGGGCAGCAGAAACTCTTCCACCGGAGCTCGAGGTTGGGAAGTTTCTCAGGCCGCCCTGCCCGGTGGCTGACTTGGGGATGGGGAGGGGGGGTCCCGGCGGGAGGTACCCGCACTGCAGCCCGGACCGGACCCCGAGGGCCGTCTCTCCCGCTGTCGGGATGGGGGGGGCGGTGAGACCCCCCCACCCCACAGGGCGGCCGGGCCAGGGCGCAGCACCCACAGCCTGGCATCCCGCGGCGCCCCCACCCCCGGCCGGGCTCGGGTCTCCGCTCGCGTCCCCAGGCGCTCGTCCCGCACTCGGGGTCCCGGGGACATCCCGACGCTGCATGGGGGGGGGGAGAGAGGGAGGGCAAGGTCGCGCCGCGGGGGGGAGGCGCCTCCGCGCCCGCCTCACCCCTGGCCCGCAGGGGGC